AAAAAAAAAAAAAACCAAGAACATCCAAATATCCATTGAAAACTGATTTTTTTCCTTTTGCATGTGATTAATCGTTTTTTTTNTATTCAGTTTTTTTTGGTAGCTAAATTTGATTTTGAAAAAAAAAAAAAAAAAAAAAAGAACCAAGAACATCCAAATATCCATTGAAAACTGATTTTTTTCCTTTTGCATGTGATTAATCGTTTTTTGTTTGGTTGTTCGCTTCAATTGGATTATTTTTTTGGTTTTTTCGATTTGCTTGTGTGTGTGGGTGTATGTTTCAGTATAAAAAGAGAGAAAAAGAGGAAAAAACCAAACAGCAAATGATCATTATCAACATCAACAACATCTAAGGTCATGACCAATGACCACAACAACAACAAATGCCCACACACACACATAACACACACATAACACAAATCAAATTATAATGAAAAAACAACGAACGAGTAACCAAACCATCAGTATATGCAAGGCGAAAAATAGATTTACTAAAATTGACCATTGGTCAGTGTGTCAATGAAAGAATGAATGAAGGGAATTTTTTTCTTTCTGGATCGATTTGTTGGTTTTTTGGGATCATTATCATCATCATCAGGCTCATTATTTTTTCGTTATATTCGGTTTTGGTTGTGGTTTCAATATTGATTTTCGTTTTTTTTCGTGATTTTCAGATGAAAATGTACCATTTAATGATCATTTTGTTGGTGATCAAAACAAATTCTTTCTTTCAATCAAATTGAACAACCAAAAAACACTTAACTAACTAACACTTAACTAGTTAGCTGTGTGTGTGTTGATTATGTTAAGCGTCGAAATAGTCGATTATTATTAGTGGTGGTGGTTTATTTCCAATGATGATGATGATTATTTTTCAATTGATTTTGGAAATAGTGATAGTTTCGTCGTTTTTTTTGCAAATTATTTACTTAGAATTATTACATTATTATGATGATGGTGATTGATTTTTTCGGGTATCCAAAAAAATCAATTTTAGAGATCAATATGGTAAAATGAACTAAACACTTTCACTTTTTGATGATGAACTTTATATTTACGAAACGATAGCCAAGCACATCAACCATCATATCAAATAATCATCAATTTAATGTGATCAATGAATTGAAAATAATTTTCCTTTCCCCACAATATTTCTATTTATTTTGCTGGACACTTTGATTTTTTTTTCGTTCCAAAAAATGATGTGTGATTCATTTCAGAAACGTTGTACAAACAAACAAACAAAAAGATATTAAATCCAAAGATAAACATTTTCATCATCAGAAACAAATGAAAAAAAAACAAAGAAAGAAAAACTTCAAACTTTTTATTAAAGATTGTTTGTTTTTTTGGTTGGTTGTTTGTGATCAAATCAAAACAAAAGTAATTGGAAATTTGAACTAAGCAAAAAAGGAAAAAATTATTGGTTTTCTTTTGTTTCCGGAAAGATTTTTGTTTTCTGGAAATATTTTCCTTGAAAAGTAAAAGGAACAGAATAAACAGAAACTTTTTCTTTTTTTTCTGGTGATCCATTCATATATTCAATGATTTTTGATTTAGATAGATGGATAGATGGATTATGTACTTGAAATTAAGTTTGGTTTGATAGTTTTTTTTTGAATGCAAAAATGATCGATTGTTTTTCACTCTCTCTTACAATCGAAAACAAACATTGTCATCATTTTTTTTGTTTTTTTTATATGAAAAAATAAGATGATTATAAACTTATACATCATTCATTCATTCATCCGATCAATCTTACAAGCAACAACAACAACAAGAATATATCCATCTTTTTTTTACCAAGAATAATCCATTTCAAAAAAATCAATCAAAATTTTTTTGAAAAAACTAAGAATTTTTCTTACAATGGTTTTGGCTATATATGATGTTTGTTGGTGATGTCAATCAAAAACCACAAACCAAACCAAAAAGCAACTACAAACCACCATTCCTGTCATACATTCATTTTTTCTGATCCTGGAACAACAATAACATGTGTGTGCTAGCGAGCGAGTGTGTCATTGAGATATTCAGAATCAGAATCAAAATCTTTTCACCCAACCAAAAACACAGAATGCAGAATAAATCTGATCAGATCAAATCAAATCAAAGAGAGAAAGAAAGAAAAATGGTTTTGGTTATGTTGATCATCATCATCATAAAGGCAAAATGTTAAAATCAAGTAACAGTCAGTCATTCTCATTGAGTCAGTCAGTTGTATATGTCAAATCAATCTGTGACGACATCCATCATCATCTTCAATGATTTTCCGATGGCAGATGATGTTCATTCTTTATATTGAATTTTTTTTTTCAATTTCTGGGCAGAGGATAAAAGTCATTCATGACATCTATGCACACACACATTTGACAAGATTGAAAATGATGTTTAAAAAAATCTTGATATTTCATTTCAATTTTCAATTTTAATTTCATCATCATCATCATTATTATTATTGTTATTATCCGATTGCGCAATTAATATCCATTGTTTGTATGTGTTGGGTATGCAAGCTTGGATTTACATTGTTTTTTGTTTTGTTTCTGTCGTTCGGTGTGTGTTCCATTTGAATTTTATTTCAATTTTCAACATTCATATCCCTCTTCTCTCTCTAGGTGTTATTATTCACGCCTTTTTTCATTTCATTTGATACACAATGCACAAACACAACTAACTAACTTGCAACAAACAAACCAAATCAAACAAGCAAAAAACATGAAATAAAATCCAAAATAATAAAAAAGAAATTATTATTTGTTATATGTGGACAATGGAAAAAAACAACAACAACAACGAAAATCTAACAATAGAATTCAAATTCATTTCATTTCATTTAAACATGCTTGGTTTCATCAATGAATAAAATGAAAAAGAGGGCCTGAAAATTGAAATGAAAACTTGCGGAATGAAATAATAAGAGGAAATAAGTGTTAAAATTTCTAGGTTTTTTTTCCACTTCTTCTTCTTTCCATTTCATTTTTCTCTCACTTACTTTGATTTGATTTTCACATTCAAACTCTATCATCATCATCATCAACATCGATGATGTGTGCTGTGTTTTTTTTTTGTTCGATCCATTTATTTTTCTATTTTTCATTCTCGGTGTTACACACTCATTTCATAGTCATGTTCCAGTAGGATCACTTACGCAACAATGATTATGATGAACTCTATTGATGATGATGATGATGATTGTTGATGATGATAAAATCCATGTAATAATGTTCAACAAATCTGTAGATCTGTAGATATTGGAAATGATTTTTTTTTTCGTCAAACAATGAAATCTTTGTAGCGTATAATTTTCTTTTTTTATTTCAAGCATTCAATAGTGGTGGTGGGCAAATGCAAAAAGCAAATAACCTGAAAATTTGAGAAAATGGAAAATGTTATTTTCATGTTTTCCATTCACAACCATCATCATCATCATCACATAATCAACCCAAATGAATATATTTAAATTTAATGATGTTTGAAAATTTGAATTTTTTTCTTGTTGTTTTTGTTTTTGTTTTTTATTCTGTTAACTGATTATCATTTAATGAAAATATCATTGTTTTTTTTCAATCAATAAAGATACAATTTTGCTACATTATCGAACTAATTTGTCAAATTAAATAATTACCATAACCAAACAGGAAAAAAAATTCAAAAGTTTGGTATCTAAAATTTTCAAATATACTGGATTTGAAACGAAACAAAACAAAACAACAACAAAAACCGTAAATAACCGTAAAAATTTGTCTTGTTTGACACATTTTATTCATAGTAGAGAAACAATGGATACAATTGTTTCGACTTACTCTGACTTATCCATAGAGTTTTGAAAATAGATTTCATTTCATTTCAAAGTTTTTTCATTCTATTCTTTTTTCCCTCTCCACAAAATTTCACTTCATCATTCACACAAAACACACAAACAAAAAAACGGCTACATTTGTCAAAACGACCTTAGATCGATCGATGACATTTTGTTTTCAACACCACCACCACCACCACCAAATCATCATTGTCACAATCTATTTGTGCAGTTTTTTTTCCTGTTGGATCAAATCTAGAAAAAAAAGATTTTTCTTTTATAAACACCAAACAATGAAAATTTCGAATTGAATTGAATGATTCGGTCGACCTTTTCTATTTTTGTCACCTTTTTATTTTGTCCAAAGTTACCCTGTTTCTTTTTTTTTGTACCCTGTAACAATTGTTGTTGTTGTTTTGGATGTTTATTTGTAAATTTTTATTAGTTATTTAGTTTCAGGAAAACAATGATGATTTTCTATTTCTCTATTTTCAAAAAAAAAAAAAAAAATTATTTAAAATTTGAACTTGGTAGCGCCATCTTTTTGTAATATGATTACATTTTTCTCATTTTTTTTCAAACTNAATGATTCGGTCGACCTTTTCTATTTTTGTCACCTTTTTATTTTGTCCAAAGTTACCCTGTTTCTTTTTTTTTTGTACCCTGTAACAATTGTTGTTGTTGTTTTGGATGTTTATTTGTAAATTTTTATTAGTTATTTAGTTTCAGGAAAACAATGATGATTTTTTATTTCTCTATTTTCAAAAAAAAAAAAAAAAATTATTTACAATTTGAACTTGGTAGCGCCATCTTTTTGTAATATGATTACATTATTCTCATTTTTTTTCAAACTCATCAAATTACCGATAGATGGCATTCAAGTTGATAATTTAAAATTTGGTTAACCATAATAATAATGATGATAACGGTAACAAAAAGGATAATGATTTTTTTTATTTCAACATTTATTTATTAAATCTTTTAAAATTTTCTGAAAAGAAAAAAAAACATTTGTTTATAATTCATAAGAATTCATAAAATTGACAAAAAAATTAACATTTGTAGCGTTAGACATTGCTGTTTTTGGCTATTGTAATTTGTAATTTGTGTAAATGCGAATGTGAATGGAAAAAAAACAAAAAAAAAATTAAATTTTCAAAATTAATAAATCACCAAGTATTTTGAATCAATCAATCAATTAATCATCCAATGATGGATCAGATGGACCACATTGTTTCAATTGTTCATTTGTTTTAGCCAATTTAGTTTTCAACGATTGATTTTCAGCTTCCAAAGCATTAATTCGTGCAACCAGAGTGTCTTCTTTAGCTTTATACATTTTATGCACACGATATCGTGTATAAGTTTGTGTATATTTATCACGTGCTCGTAAATTCATTCGTTGTTGTTGTTGTGGTTGTGATTCCGAAACATTTTGAGTAATTGTTGTTTCAATAGATTTACTAGCTGTAAGAACTGATGTGCTAGTTGGTTGTTGTCGTTGTTGTTCCAAATTTGTAGCATTTTCCAACGATGAAGATGTAGCAGTCGACATTGAAATTGAACGATTAATCGGTTGTTCACTGGTGGCCATTGTTGAATTTTCTTCATCATCAACACCAACAACATCAATATCAACATCATCATCATCATCATTGTGTTCAGATGATTCAGATTCCAAATTATCTTGTTGTTCATTCAACAATGGTTGATTTGGTACAATTAAATTTGAAGCCATCGATGTATTACCTGATGTAGCCGAAGTATTGAATAATGGATAATCAATGGAAGAAAATGTTGATGTCATTTGACCAGTTGAAGTATTACCAATTGATGTAGCCAAATTTGAATTTGTGTTTACAGTTGGATTAGTTTGTCCAGTTAACCATTGATTAGGATTAATATATGACATTGTTTGATAACCACCAATACCACCATCAATGATCAACGGTGTCGAATAAACTGTTGATTGAAATTGTTGTTGTTGTTGTTGTTGTTGTTGAGGAGTAATGTAAAGCAAATTTTGATTTTGTTGTGGATAACCAATAAATGTATTTTGTGGCAATGTCAATGCTGAAGCCAATGTTGAAGAATAAGCCAAAGAATTTGTTGTTGTTTGAGGAGCGATTAAATAATACAATGGTCGATTTACTGTTTGCAAATTTGTATTTGGCTGATTTGTTTGAGCATTAGGATTCAACAAAATATTCTGATTTTTGTTTTTGTTGTTGTTCATATAAAGATCGATCAAATGTCTGCTTGATACATTATAAAAAAATTTGATACTTACCGATGCTAATGATGATGAAGATGATCCAGATGGAATTGCTACCATCGAAATGGAATTTGATCCCAATGAAAATTGATTGTTGGACATTTTTTTTCAGAAAAATTGGCTACTTTTAAACTAAATCAAGACAAATATTTGAGAGGAAAATTTTAAATTTTTATTATCATTATTATTTATGATTGTTAAAATTGATTACAATTTAAAAAAAATCAATAATAAAATTAATAAAAAGATAGATAGCCATAAATTTATCAAAAATGATGGCCATATCGGGAATAGCATCCGAAATCGATTGATGATCAAAAAGATAGAAAATTTTCAATACAATATCGGCTAAAAATTTTGCAAAATAATTAAATATTCGTAAACATATTGTTATAATCAATAACAATATTATGATGGCTAATATACGTAATAGCCAGGAAAATTTTGGAAAATTTCGGCCAAAAAATTTAATAAATTCATTCAAATAACGTATTGTTATTGCTAATTGATAACGTGGATCTAATTCATCAAAATTGGCTGGAATTATAAATCGAAATAATGGTCGATTTCTATTTGGTCGTTGCATCTTTGTGGATCGATTCAAAACTTTTGAAAATCGAAAAATAGATCAACAAAATCGATACCAAAACAAAACGAGGCTCAACAGACTGAACAATAACAAGTGAATGAATGAAACAATGCTCACTTGTGAATCTCTATATTGCATCAAATTTTGCTACTCTATACAATGATTGTGTGTGTATGCTTGGTTAATGCTCGTTGCGACATATACCACACACACAACGAATTATCAGTGAATTTCGATAAAAAAACAAACTTACCCGTATAGGAAGATATGGTTGATGATAATAATATCGTAAGATGTTACCCAATCGAGATGAGAAAAGCAATTGAATGAACCGATTAAGCCAAACCAAAACTGATCTTCGTCTTTTGGACAAAATTTCGAAAATTCGAATTTTCGAATTTTCATAGCTCAACAGATACAATTGATACATTTGAGCAGCAGAAGCAGCAGCAGCAACAGTTTTGTAGCCATTTGCTCATCATTTTTTTTGAACTAATAAAGGATACAATTCCAGACATGCGTGTAAATATTTCTGCTCTTATTCAACAGTAGGAATTGGATCTTTATGGATTTTGTATCGGTTTTTTTTTCAAAATAAATTTCCTTTTTCCACTATCCGTAAGCAACAAATTCTTAAGTTCTATCATCTTAATATTGATAGAACAAAGTTTATCTCTCAAGTTAATCAATTCCAAAAATATGCCAGAATCTGATCATCCAATTTCGATTTTACAAACACAAACCAGACGTGTAACCAAACGACGTCATCAACGTTTACATACACGAAATTATCAACATCCATTCAATCTATATGACCGAGATTTTAATCCCAAACGATTAATTTGTAATTCTTGTTGTTTAATCGGTATATTTATTCTTGTTTTCATATTGTTTCTGTTCATTTATTTTGCATTGAAAAATGCTGTATACTAAATGTAATCAAATTTTTCCAACAAAATCAAAAATAAATATGAATTAATGTAAAAAAAATATAAGTGTCCATTTTGTCTATAATTTATTCGTTTTATAATTATTTTGGCATATTGATCCCAGAAATTGTATCAATCAATCAATATTTTTGAAAAATATATTATTCAAATAATTCCTTGAATGTATATACAGATGGCGTTCATGTTTAGGATTTGAATTTTTTATTTCCAAACCAAACCAAACCAAAAAAAATTGATCATTTTAGTAAAATTTTCTTTGTCATTTCTTTGTCTTCACAATTTACTTATTTTGTCCGATGTTATCTTTGAATTTCAAGTTATCAATCGGATAATTTTTTTGTTGTTGATTACATCGCTAAATAATTCATTGGTAATAATAATTTACACAATTAGAGGGCGATACTTGTATCAAAAAAAAAAAAAAAAAACAAATTTGAGCCACATTTTTATTGAATGTAAACACACTTGTGGTATATATTCGAAGAAAAAATAGTAGTAGCATTGATAAGTGAAGAAAAATTCTTAGAAAAATTCATTACGTTGTAAACAAAATCTACCAAGTTCTTTTTCTTCTATCCCTCTCCTCCAAAAATATATCGAATATTAATGCTGCTACCTCGATCAACAACAACAAAAAAAAAGTAGCAACTCATTTTATCCAATTTTTATTCGGTTTATACAATGTGAACTTTTTTTTTCTGTTTGTCGGGATGCACTCATCAAATTGAATAACAAAAAAAAAAATTGTATCCGTGGATATTCTAATGGTAGTGGTTAGCGATGATGGCGTTTGGTACCAAAATTGAAAAAAAAAATAAAGATTTCTTCACATCATTTTCTTTGGTTATATGGTGTTTATGTGTGAGCCAGGCATAATAACAACAACAACAAATTAACGAGAAAAAAAGACATCTTTTTTTTTGGTTCGGCATTTTGCTACACATACTAGTCATTTTACTTTGTTTTTATCTTTTTTTGGTTTCTATTGACTCGAAAGTTTTTTACCTGTTTGTTTTTTTTAATTTGAATTTTCACCTGCTGTTGTTGTCTTCTTCAATAGATTTTTTTTGTATCAAAATCTTGGATTTTTCTTTTCTTCTTTTTTTCGCTTCCCGATAATTGTCGATTTGAAAAATTATCAGCAAATTTTTTTCATTTTTTGGAAAATAAATTTATTCAAAATATTAATATGATGATGTTGATGATGATGGTGATATTATCATCATCACCATCATCATCATCATCACTGTTGACATTAACATCATCGGCATCATTAGCATCCTCATCATTATTATAAAAAAAAGAATTCCAAATGTCAATCAAATAGATTTTTTTTTTGGTAACATTTTTCAAAAAAAAAAGAATGACATTTTAAAATTCTGATACTCATTTTATGATATTTTCATCTATTTTATTTTGTTTGGTTCAATTACAAAGTAAGTCATATTTTTTCTGTTACTGTCCTTTATTGATCGATTCCCGATACAAATCAATCAATCAATCATTCATTTCTTTCCCCCAAAAACAAAAAAAAATGACTAATTTTCATCGATCGATCGATCAATGAACAAACAAACAATCAAAAATCAACAACATTGGTCATCATAATCAATTAAAATTAATTGATTGTGCAATCCATCTTTTGGGGGATTCTTATTTTAGAAAATGAAATAAAATTCATTTCCTTTTTGCATTTCTTTCTCTGTGTGTGGTGAGTGTGCATATGCTAAATTGATTAGAATCAATCTTTTGTTGTTGTTGTTGTTGTTAGGATTAATTTCCGTTTTGCTAATTCTTTATTTAAATCAATTGAAGAACAAAATATACATTACATTACAGTACTTTCACCCTATTGAATATTTCACAATTTCATCATGATGATTTCCATATGGATCATTTTGGTTTGTCCCCCCTCCTCCCCTCTCTTTCATTCTGATACTTAAAACGCCTACAAATGTATCAAGAAATATCGATTATCGTTGATAATCAATAATGAATTGATTGATTAGTGTGTGTGTGTGTGTGTGTTTCATTTCATTTCTTTCGTGTTTGATGAGAAAAACACACACACATACGCCAAACGCTATGTCAATGGTCCTGCAAAAAAAATTCGTTTTGTTTTTTCTTCGTCCTGGTTTTGTCAGCTGTCAAATTATTATTATTATTGTTGTTGTTGGATGAATTAGTAGCGATTAAAACAAAACAAAAAATATTCTATTTAAATCGCTCAAATTTAATGACAAAAATCATTTGCTTGGTTGCAGTTGTAGATTAGTTTCAACAACAACAACAAATAATTTTCATGTTTTTTTTCTGGTATTTTTTGATTTGTCATTTTTTTTTGTTTCGGGTTTGATTCAATCATCATCATCATCATGGCCATTAGATTAATTTATATTCAAATTAGGATAGATAAAATATAGAGAGAATGATTATGATTGCCAGTTTTTCTCTCTCTCTCTCAGTTTCGTAATCATTTTACAATTTTTTTTCTGTTTGTTTGGCTTTTCAATTCAACGGAAAAACAAATATAATCCATATTGTTTCATGTTTTTTTTGCTGTTTTACTTTTTGTTTTGATTTCGAAATTGAATGAATTCAAAAAAAATGAATAATGACAAAAAAATGTATCATTATCTTGATCCAAAACGGATACATTTTTTTCGACATTATGCAATAGTATCAAATTAAAAAGTCATGAAACGATATTGGGCAACATTGTATCCAAAAAAAAAAAAAAAAAAAAATTATTTGAATAAACATCTCAAACGATGATGATGATGATGATAATGTTTATAATCAAAATGAAAATTGTAAATGTAATAAATTATAATTAATTTTACAAGAAACAAAAATTTATTATTATTAATCTTGATCAAATCAGTTTAACATTTTTCAATTTCTCCCTCCATGTGTGTGTGTGTGTGTTAATGAAAAATAATTAAGTGAATAAAATTTTATAATCGAAAAAAAACAAAATTTGATAATTGTTAATGGCAACCTGACAATACTGATTTTTTTGATTTTTGATTTTTTTTCTGATTTTGGTTGTTATGTTTGTTATAATGGATTATTATTGTTGTGGTTGTTAACGTTGCCGTTGTATATATTCAACGTGATTCATGGATTTTTTTTTTATTTTTTGGTAACGGATTTTATTTTTTTTGAAAATGTCATACACGTTACCTGTATTTAAAATGTTAAGCAAAAATTAGAGTGTTAGAAGTGACAACAAAACATTTTTTATTTTTTAAAAATGTTTTTTCTGATGAAAATTTGTTCCCGTGTTAAATTTTTTGTTGTTGCTGTTGTTTATTAATTGATTTTTTTAAAAATATAAATTAAATTGTAAGTTTTTCTTGAAAACATTTTGTTTTTGATTGTTTTCTCTTCGTTTTGTTCACCTATATAGACTCAGGTGTACTTTTTTTTATTCTTATTTTCTTTTCGTCCTCACTATTCTCTTTTTCTTTCTTTTTTGAATTTATATCATTGATTGATTGATTGATTGTGAGAAAAAACATGCTGTGATAACCGGATGGATGATTTTTTTCAATATTCCAATAAAACCTGACAATAATGATATTTTTTCTTTTTCTTTGCAATAAATGAATTTAGATTTTTGTTTCTTGTTTGGTTCGAATGTGAAAAAAAATAATAATCGATTGGCAAAGTGAACAAAGTTTCATGTTCGGGGAAAATCCAATTATTAATCGATTGATAATCGATTATTAAATAAACAGCAAATAAAAAAAAGATTATGCCATGCGAAAAAAGAAAATTTTGCTTATGGGCACATTGCTGTTCATGGGCTGGTGTACAATACAGCTCTATTTATTTGTTCATAAACCACAATCACAACGATTAAAATCGGTTTGTTTACAAATCAATTTTTGAATAACTTTATTTTTTTTGTTTTTAAATAATTGATTAATTACATAACTTAGGCATTACCATGGTTTATACGTGGTAATAGTGATAATACTGAAATCGATAATTCCATTTCAAATACTGATCATTTATCCTCATCCTCCTCCTCATCATCATCATCTTCATCATCATCATCAACATTAAGTCATAAGAAATCCGGTGGTGAAATTGATAAAATAATTGATAATAATAATAATAAAAATAGTGCCAATAATAATAATAATAATAATAATGTTAAAAATGATAATAATTTTAAAGATAATAATGGCCGAATTGTAAAAAATACTAATAATAATAATAATAATAATACTGAAGAAAACGAAAAAATGAAAATGAAAACAATTGATTTTGATGATTTATCATTAAAAATTGAACATCTTGAATATGATCTCAGTCAACAAACCAAATCAACTGAAGTGATGTTACGTTTGCTCAAAAATATTGGTAAATTGGCCAATATGATGAACAAAACTGTTTATGAAGTGATTCATGATAAAAAATTAATAGAAAAAATTATTAATCCACCAGTGAATAAGGTAATATTTGTGTTTGGTTTTTTATAATGAACTTTTAATGATGTTTTTTTTTAAAAAAATTTAAAATAGAAACCCGTAATTTGTGTATTATTATTTGCGTGCAATAGAATAACAGTGAAAAGAAATTTAGAACAATTATTTAAATATCGTAATGATTCGGAAATATTTCCAATTGTTGTTAGTCAAGATTGTAATCATGAAGCAACCAGGCAAATAATTGAATCATATGGTGATAGATTGACATTCATTCAACAACCAGATCAATCCGATATACAATTGAAAGGAAAAAATCAGAAAAAATTTAAAGGTTATTATAAAATTAGTCGTCATTATGGTTGGGCATTAAATTATACATTCAATATATTGAATTATGAAACTGTATTGATTGTTGAAGATGATCTTGATATTGCACCAGATTTTTTTGAATATTTTCTTGCATTATATCCATTATTACGTTCTGATTCTAGTTTATATTGTATATCAGCTTGGAATGATAATGGTAAACAATCATTAATTGAAAAAGATCCAAGTATGTTTATAATTCAATTTCAATCACTTTATAATCAATTTAATGTAACTTTTGCTTTGTGTTCATTAAATTAGCCAAATTATTTCGTTCAGATTTTTTCCCAGGTCTTGGTTGGATGTTGACTAAAGATCTTTGGCTTGAATTTCAACATAAATGGCCTAAAGCGTAAGTTATTTTTTTCTTTTCGAATGAATTCTGAAATGAAATATATTTTACAAAATAGTTTTTGGGATGATTGGATACGTGAACCAGAACAGCGAAAAAATCGAGCCTGTATACGTCCGGAAATATCACGAACACGTACATTTGGTAAAAAAGGTGTTTCAAAGTAAGTTTTGATTCAGGTTTTTTAAATGCAAAACTAATCATCATTCTGTTTCATTGACAGCGGTTTATTTTTTGAAAAACATTTAAAATTTATTCATTTGAATGATGAATTTGTGCCTTTTACTAAAATGAATCTATCTTATCTTTTAAAGGTAAATTTTTTTTTCTTGTTTCTATCGATTTGACTTTAATCAATCTTTGTTGCTTTTACATAAATGTTATTCAACAACAGGAAAATTATGATGTTGAATTTATAAAACAAGTTTATAATAGTCGATTAATATCATTGTATGATTTAAGAAGTTTGCCTATTATTTCAAAAAATGATTTAAAACAACAACAACAACAACAATTATTGAATGACAATCAAACATCATCAATGTCAAAATTATCACCAATTGCATCAAAATATTCAGTTCGTATACAATATGAAACAAGGGATCAATTTAAAAAGGCTGCCAAAATGTTCGGCTTAATGGATGATTTTAAGGTTAGAATCTGAAATGATTGATTGATTGATTGAACTTTTTTTTCATTTAATTTTTCAAATTTCTCTTTTTTTTTCTCTTTCTTCAAAAAGTCGGGCGTACCACGTACCGGTTATCAGGGAACTGTAGGTTTTATCTATCATGGTTATCGTGTTTATTTAGCACCTAGTCCAATGTGGAATGGCTATAATGTTACATGGAAATAATGAATGAGACAACAACGATTTTTCATTTCATTTCATAAACTTTTTTTTCATCATCATCCATTTTTTTTCCTTTTTTTCTACCACTTTTTTCTTTCTGCTACTTTGTGACTATAGTGTTTTTATTTAATTTATTTTAACGTTTTTTTTTTCGTTTCAATGTTTCATTGATTTTGTTTTTTTGCTACTTTGTTTTTTTTTTGGTTTTTTTTTGAAAATCCAATCATTTTATCGGGATTTGCAAAAGTCAAGTTACTACCTACCAACCGCAACACCCTCTCTCTCTCTCTCTCCCCAATTCCATTTAAATTCACATCCAAATTAACCCACCTACCACATACACACATCAAATGACTGAATTTCACTCAAACAAAACAAAAAATCGTTTACCGGTAAAAAGAAATTTATATAGATAGATTGATTTATCGCATTCCATTTCTCCTTTCATTTTCATTTTCACTTTTACTCACTCAAACGTTCTCCTACTTTTTTTTTTGAATACCAAAATACTACACATACATCCAACCAATTATATTTATTCACCAAAATACAAATGAGACTGAAAAAAAATCCAAACTTTTCTCATTAAATAATATTTTATTATTAATAATAATTTGAAAGGATCAAATTTTATTATAAACCAACAATCTACCCACACACACAAAAAAAAATATTTATATTTCCAATTAAATAATAATGATAATAAAAAAAATATTAAATTTTTAATGTGATTTTCAAAAAAAAGAAAAGGAATATATAAATTTTGTTATTATAATGATGGCAATGATTATAATTGGATGATTGTGGTAGTTGGTTTGTTTTGGTCGGTTGGAGTATATGATATGATTGTATTTTCCCGTTTGATTTATTCATAAAATGATTATGGTAACCATTTTTCAAATTGATCACCAGTTATAATTCTTTTTTCATTCATATAGATTTGGCTATTTTCTTGATGACGTTCTAGAAAATATCTATAATTAACCATCATACCGCATGAATTTGAAAGGCCACGTGTTGATATATCAGCTAGCCAATTTAATCGCCACATAATGGCACCATTTTTCATATGAAAATTTGCTAATTTAAAAAAAAGGAAATTTGTGAAACAAAAAAAATTTGTTTGCAAACAAAAAATAAAAACTTACCAACTGGATTTAAAGCATAACCACGACGTTTTTCATGATATAAATAATGTGCACAAATACGCATTAATGGTTCACGAAATGATTCAACTAATGTTTGATCAGTTATCCAATTACCTGAACGTAATAATTGTATTAAACGATTCCAAAATGTTTGTTCATCTTTAACAGCTAATATACCACAAAGACGTTCATAATCTGAATAACGCATCCATATTTTACGAAAACCTTTTGAATCATCTTGTCGTTGTATTGCCTGTATTGCTGTTAATAAATATTCAGTAAAATTTGGTATCGGTGATAATGAACTAAATCTAGTCATTAATGGAAATTCAGCTTTCAATCCGCCAGCAACTTGTTTAATCAATTGATTACCCAAATCAATACCATTCAGGCCTTTTTGTGTTGATGATATTGAATAAAATACAGCAGCATCGACAAGATTAGGATCTTCAAATTGTTGATGTAATTTTGGTGAACGTGAAAATGATTGTAATTTAAATGTTTTTCCATTAATCATTGTTGTTATTGTTGGTGATGTTGGATCATCTTTTGGTGAACTTAATGCATCATGTTTATTATCATCAGCGAATCCATTCAATAAATTTGATGTTTTTGATTGAATATCATTATCATTACCCTGTTGTATATTTGTTCGCCGAATTATTTCCTTTTGTTTTAATGAAAAGTAAACAAAAAAAAATGAATAAATAAAATCAAAAAAAAATTTCTTCATCAACAAACCTGAATAGATGATGAAATCGATGGCACTAATGCTACATGTAAAATAACCAATGGTTCACCTTGAAGACATGAATGTGAAAACATATAACAACGTCTATACAGTCCAAGACGATGTTTTAGATCTAACCAATTACGTATTGGATGTACGGCTTCATATTCAGTTATCTAATAAGAAGAATAAAAATTTTTAAAAAACAATGAATCGATCAAAACATTAATAACATACTTTTTGTAGAATCGATGTAGGTGAATCCCATGTAACACGTTCAAGACGAAGAAAACCGGCATTAAACCATAGCGAAAGTAAATCGGATAATTGTGATGATAATAATCTTAAATAAACTTTACTTGATGGTCCCATTTCCGATACTAATTGTGGATGTGATAGTACTGTAATAAGATCACTACGTAAATCGACTAAAAATTTAACACCAATCGGTAAACGTGATATTTGTCGAAATAGATCTAAATATTGTGGCCGTATTTGTTTCTGTAAACGATCAACCAATAATGCAGCATCATATGGTTCTTGTCGAGTTTGTGTTTGTAAAAAACTTGAACTTGCTTGTGATGCAACATCAATTGTTGTTGATAATTCATCCGATAAAAAACAAAGATAACGAAAACGTTCCAATGGATTTGAATCATAATAAACATTACATAATTCTAATGCTAATTCTGATTGTTTCTGTTTATGATAAAATGATAAAAAATTACAATTACAAACAACAAATAATTTTAATAAATATAATACCTGTGTAATATCACGAACAGTTGATAATTGTACAATTAATGTTGAAATATGTTGTAATTTTTCCAGATTACTATTCAAACCATTTATTGTTATTGAATTTGGATCATAAACATTTTGTCTAGCAAATTTTAAATCCCATGATGATGATGTTGTTGTTGTTGTTGTCGATGATGATGATGATCGAATAGATAATAATGATGATATAGGATTTTGTATTTTTCGATAAATATTTTCATTATTATTATAATGATGTTTGAAATGAATTAATCGTAAACATTTAAATAAAGAATTTATTATCGAATAATGATTGGCTATTATTGATTTACTAGCCATTATATGATGATTGAATAACATTTTTCTTTTTTGGTTTTCTCTCTGATGATGATGATAAAATTCAAAAATATCTTGGAGTTTTTATAATGTCCAGAAACAGACAAGCAGAAACAAAAACAAAAACAAAAAACAAAAATGGTTAATGATCGGCGTTATGTACAAACACACAAATGTATCTGTTTCATGAAATTTTTTTTTCCTATTTCATTTCATTTTTCTAATCAAACACAAAATTATTATTCAATAAATAAATAAAATTCAGCATTAAATTTATAACATTTACTTACTTACTTTACAACTTGGTATGCTACTAGAACCATATGTAATTAAAATAATAATAATTATCATGATTAATATTGAAACAACCGTCTTGATCAAGGCTATTTATCCATCATTTATCAACATTTTCAACCATAGTTATCGTTGTCGTCATTGATAAATTTCATTCGTTCGTTCGAACGAGAAAAGAAATGATCCGAAACCAATATGAACAATGTAATCAAATCAAATCAATATTGTAAATGAAATTTGAAAAATAATGATAAAATCTTACTTGAAATCCTTAAATTTCATTCGATTAGATTTTGAGGTTTTTCTTTGAAAATTTGTTTTCTTTTTCTTTTTTTAAAAATGCGTTTTGCTACATTTGATTCGGATAATTTCTTCTTTTTGTGTACTTAATTTTGGTCGGGTTTCAATGATTTCAATGATTTCAACATTTAAATATTTTCATTTTTTCTCTCTCTTCGATTGATTGATTGAATGGAATAGAAAATTTTCAGTTTGGTTTTAGAAAGGCGAAATATGTACCTTTTTCTCTCTCTTTCATTCGAATTCAATTATTATGAAAATGATAAGCTAAGCATGCAGTTGATCAAATGTTTTCACACCAATTTTTGATTAGATAAATAAAATTATTTTCAAAAAAAGCACTTTCAGCTCATCATGTTCACATACAAACATAGCATTTATTCAGCTGAGTTTTTTCATTTTCATTATCATTGTCATCATTTTTATCATCGACCACTAGATGGCCGTACATTTTGTTTATGTCATCATTTTTTTTAAACACACATGTTTTTTGTTTTTCTCAATTTCATGATTTTGTCTGTAAATTTTTTTTTGGATTTTTCATCGTTCAACAAAAAACTAATTAATTGATTAGTGAAATGTCATATGGCTATTTTTATAATCATGGATTACCATCGATTATTAGACAAATTCGTCGAATTAAACGATTTCGTGAACCAAAATTTTATGCTGTAGCTGTTGGTCGTCGTATTGGTATTTATCGTTCATGGCCATCATGTAAAGTACAAATTGAAAATATTTCTAATGCAAAATTTCGTCGTTTCGATACACATCATGAAGCTATTTCTTATTTGGAACAAACACCAAATGAACTGCCATTACCATTACAAGATCAAATGAAACAAATAGATTCGATTAACAGTAATGATAATGATTTGGTTGATGATTCATCCATTGTTTATATTGATGGTGCTTGTTGGCGTAATGGATTACCAGATGCATGTGCTGGTATAGGTATTTATTGGCCTGGTGCACCTGAACGAAATCAAAGTCTTATAATTGATGGTCGACAAACAAGTATTCGTGCCGAAATTTGGGCAGCAATATTTGCCATACGACAAGCTAAACAAATTGGTTTAGATAAAATTACTATTTATACTGATTCACATTTTGTTATACAAACAGCAACTGTTTGGTTATATAAATGGAAACGTAATTGTTGGTTAACATCATCCGGTGTTGAAGTTAAAAATCGTTATGATATGATGGCATTAGATGAATCAATTAGACAAATGAAAAAAATTATATGGCGTCCTGTACGTGGTCATTCAGGTATCCCGGGTAATGAAGAAGCTGATCGTTTAGCTAATGCTGCTATTGCTAATTATGAACAACAACAATCCAAATCAATCAATAATAATAATAATAATAATGAAAATCTGTCTAAAGATTAAATAATTTCCAAAAAACAAAAAATTCTCTAAATTCATTTTTTTTCATTATTTTCAAGTTTGCTTGCTTTTCAAATGTCAAATATCAAAAATCAATGAAATTGATTTTTTCGTTCTTTCCATCAATTCAGCGCATCGCCGTAGATTCTCCTTGACGATAGATAGATAACGAGAGAGAGAAAGAAATAGAAAACTTGCCATTCTACTTACTATTCTCTATACTCATGATGATGCTGATGATGACCTTGGATTTCTTTTTATATATGAATATTTGTAATGGAAATTGATGCCACAATAACAACCGAATGATACTGCGGAAAAAAAATTTCCTTGGTATTTTATTATCATTCCATTCTTTTCTGGAACGATTACACATCATTTCACAATTTACAAACAACAAAAATTTTTAATGATCCATCCAAAAATTATATAGAATTTTTTACGTCATAATTCTGATTGTTTGATATTATTTCACCATATATATTGAAGCAATTTTTCAAGAATTTCTGGCATTTTTCAAAATCAAAGAAAAAAAAGTCAAAAGTCAAAATGTTTATCAATGAAATTCTCAATAATAATAATAAACAATCGAATAATGATAATGATTATTATCGATTATTGGGCTGTGATCCAAGTTCAACGGTAATTGTTTTTTAAAAAAATCTTATTTCACTTACTTAATTAATTTTTCAATTAAACAAAGTTTAGACTGAACAAATAATTGCTGAATATCGTAATCGTGCATTACAATTACATCCGGATAAAGCAACCAATGAACAAGATCGTTTAGAACGTGAACAAAAATTTTGTCAATTATTACATGCAAAAGATATATTGATTGATGCGAATAAACGTAAACAATATGATCGTTGGTTAAATTCTGGTCTAGCAATTTCATTTGAAAAATTTTCATCATTATCAAATCATTGTCATACATCTATACATTGGCTTAATAATAATTATCATAATCAACAAACAAAAGCAATAACCAATAGCACCACTATAGCAGATAACAATAATGAATCCAAATCGAATATGATTTATAATCCTGATCCAATTGAATCATTTCGATTCAATCATTCATCATCATCATTCAATGATAATGATAAAATTCTTAAAATGTTTCGTAATTATCAAATTTAACTCTTTTTTATTATTTAATAATAATTATTTAAAAACAAAAGAAAAAATAAAATCCTTAATGAACAATAAAATAATAATAATAATAAATAAGCTCTGTAGCAAATTAATGTTGTTGTTGTTGTTGTTGTTTTTGGAGAGAATAAAAATAAAATAAAATCATTCAAAGTTACAAAAAAAAATAATAATAATAATTATAAATCACAACATCCATATATCAATACGAAAACACACAGAATTCAAAATTACAAAATAGCTGCTATTTTATCTCTTCGCGTGTGTGTCAATCGATAATCATGCTGATGATTTTGATGATGATGATGATGATGATTATTGATGATGATGAGATCTTTTTTTTCAAAAAATAATATTGATTATGAAAATCACAAATATAAATAATCGAATAAAATGATTATGAATCAAAGACGATTTGTTGATGATAATGTATCATTATTATGATTATTACCAACACCAGATGAATAACCATTTCTAATAATCATTGTTTGTTTATGATCGGATTCTTTTTTCATTATTGATTTTGATTCATCATTCAATTGTTGATCATCATCATCTTGATCTTCATCATTTTGTATTACTGTAATTGGTAATTTATTAATTTGTTCAGCAGCAAATATTGTTTCTTGTTGTTGTTTTGATTGAGGTACATCATAATCAATATTATTTGATTGATTAATCATCATCGATATTGATTCTGGTTCAAAATTGTTATTTGGTATTATTACTGCTGTAGGTGAATTCGGTGGTAATGATGTTGCCTCTAAATATGGTGGTGGACTTTGATCACTATCATTTGATATAATTATCGATTGTATACGTGAATTTTCATCATCATTCGTTTCATTATTTGCATTTGCACCAAATATTTTCTGATATAATGGATCATGAATTTGTTGTGATGGTTGTTGTCGTTGTGCTGGTTGATTATAATCAGATGATTGTTGTTGTTGTTGCTGGTGTTGATCATTATTATTAATAATAGATATTTGTTGTTGTTGTTGTGATAATTGATGTTGACGTTTTTTATTTGATTGTAATGAATTTCTTGCACCATGATCATATTGTAGATTACGATTATCAAAACACATACGATAAAGATCATCATCAGTCAATTGTGGTCGTGATTGATATTCATTACGTAATGTTTCATATAATTTTGTCAAACCATTTGATGTTAAATGATCTTTAAAATTTAATGAAAATTTATTATTACCAAATGATGATGATGTTGATGAATGACGATTAAAAATTTGTGATGATGGTGAATTATGATTATTATTCATTGATATTATTGGATTATTTGTTTCATTCAATAATGATGATGATGGTGATAATGTATTATTCCAAGTTTTATTCATATTGGCAAGTTTTTTAATAAATAATTGTTTAATTTCATCTAATTTATGGACAATACCCTTGAATGTTGGACGTTCATCTGGATCCGGTAACCAACACCAACAATTAACAATCCATAATATAACCGGTATCATATGTGGTTTTGGTAATCTATAACCCATATTAAGAAATCTAATTAATGAATCAGAATGTACTTCTTCATATGGTATACGGCAACGTGTATATAATTCCCAAACCAATACACCATATGACCAAACATCAGATTTGGTTGTAAAACAGTGTTCAGTTAATGATTCTATTGCCATCCAACGTATTGGTAATTCTGTTGTTTGATTCTTTACTCTATAATAAAGTTTATTATCTTGATAAAAACGTGATAAACCAAAATCACTTATTTTAACAACACCATTTTTATCTAATAAACAATTTCTTGCTGCTAAATCACGATGTACAAAATTCTGTTGCGATAGATAATCCATCCCTAGATTAGAAAATTAAAAAATTAAAATAAAAAATTGTTAAATTTAAAAACAAACACCAACCTGATGCAATTTGTCTTGAATAATTAATAAGATCACATAATCTTGGTGAATTATTATTATCACGTAAATAGCTACGTAAATCACCATAATGCATAAATGGTGTTACTAATGCTAATGATGGTTGTGGATTTGCTGGTGGTATTGGACAAACAATTGTTATAAATTTTAATGACATAACATTTTCATGTGAAAAATTTTTCATTATAATCATTTCTTCTAATAGAAAACTATTCTGTGATTGATCTTTGATTGTTTTGACTGCAACCAAATTATTTTCATCATTATCTAATTGTCCACGAAATACATAACCATAATTTCCTTGACCACATAATTCAATTAATTTTAAACGATTCGAATCTTTTAATATTAAATTTTGATTTTTCATTTGTTTACGTATTTCTAATCCATTTTCAATTGCTTCAAATGTTTCATCTAGGAAAATAAATTTAATTGAAATAATTTCCAAAAACAAAAACAAAAAAAAAACATACCAAGTAAATGTTCAGTTTCACTGCTAGCAAGTTCAGTCATTGTAAATTGTCTATCAATCAGATTATATTGATTATTATTATTTGTTTTTTCATTTGATGGTATATGTTTTCGAATATATAACCATAATGCACCCAAACCAATTAATATTAATGTTAATAAAAATATAAAACCAAGCCAAATATAAGCAAGTTCAGATTTTTGTCTATATTTTGTTGGTTCGGAATGTTCAAATATCATTTCACCCAAACTAAAGTAAAAAAAAAATTTTATTTAAAAATTTTTTTTGCGAAATAAATCATACCGTGTTTTATTCGTTCCAATTTGAATAGTTACATTTTGCGTAATACCAATCAATTCTTTTAATTCCAAATCATTAATATCAACAATACAATCAATACGATTTAATGAACGAAATTTTTCCGTACAATTATAATTATTATCAATTTTTATATCGATTGGTATATTATCATAAAAATTTTCACCATATAATGATAATAAACGATTTGATTCGGAAACATTTATACGTTCGATTGGTGAAAATTTTGGATCCGGATAAAATATTATTTTACCTTCATGTCCAATTATACCATCTAAATGCAATTTATAATTAACATTTAATAATCTATTTAAATAATAATGATTATTATTATCATTATTAATATTTTTAGTCATTTCAGATGGCGGTATATAACAGGTTAAATATGATGATGTTGTTAATGTTGGATGTATATAATCACATTCAGTTAATAAGGATAAATTATTATTAACTGATTGTGATATTAATTCCAATTCAGGATATAATATTGAACGAAGATGATCACCAAAAAAATTTATGGTTGAATTGGATGAATAAAAACCAACAAAAATATTTTGTTTTGTTTTCATAGATGGATTTCTTCTATATTCAAATTGTCCAAGAAATTCAATTGGTTGATTTTTTCCAATTAATTTTTCAAAACGAAATATAAATTTTTTCTCTAATGAAAATGGTTTTTCAATAAATTTTTCCATTGATTGTTGATTATGTCGTCGTCGTCGTCGTTGTCGATGATGATTATTTGCTGAAAATTGTTGCAAATCATCACAAGATTCGAAATTAAATTCAAATTTATTATTAAAAATCATATCCGATGTTATTAATTGATAAGAATTTTGATGATTTAAATTTGCTGAATAATAATCAATTTCAAAACGAATGGTTTTATTTTTTGAATGTATTTGATTTGTACTATTCAGTTTCATTGTTTTACATATGACATAACGATGACCTTTAGTCAGCTATTTGAAACAAACAATTAGATTATATTTTTTAAATAAATAATTTTCAAAAAGTAAAGTAAACTTACAATTTGACAATTTTGTTCACCTAAATATAATGATGCATTTGTACCGATATTAAGATATTTACCAAATAATAAAATTTCAGTACCACCTGCAAATGGACCATATGTTGGATGTATACCACAAATCAATGGTGATAAATATTGAAATGTTTCATCCAATTCAATACTACCATCAATCATAAAACCACGTTCAGCAACATTCAATTTATCTGTTGCATTAAAATATATGATTGCATTATGTTCATAATTATTCAATGATTTTTCAATCTGACAACGAACAAATGTATCTTTACGTTCAATAATTATACATGGTATATGACCAATATTAATTTTCAGATCACTATTTGATGTGGAAGATTTTGATTCACCAAAATTATAACCATAAAACTTTAATTCACTACCACCTTGAATTGGTCCTTGTTTTGGTTCAAATTGATGAACAACTGGTGGACATTTTGGTTGTAAATTTTCTAATGATATTGATTTTTTTATTACACATTGATTATTATGCCAAAAACAAGATTTATGTTTCAATTCTGAATGATGTTCACGTAATTGTATACATGATGAACATGTTGAATAAACTGAACAAGATATTATTGGATAACGTATTAAATGATTCGATGATAATAGATAAAATGTTGCTGTTTCAACATCGAATGGTATATTTTGTAATGATAATAATGGTTCTTGTAATTTTAAACGATAAATTGAATTTATTGATGAATATTGTGATTTTTTATAAAATTTATATAGATAACCATTGACAGTACCAACAAAAATATATTGATGATTATTAATAAATACTGATCCTAATGATGTTATGCGATCTATTTTGTATCAAGAAATAGAAAAAATTAGTTAATAAAAAACAAAATCAATATTAAACACAAACCATTTTTAATATTAATTATTGGTTGTACAATTAATGGTTCACCATATTCAATAAAACGATTATCAATCGAATAAGGACATTCATTTTCATTCATACTTGAACTGGTTTTTTTACATTGTCGTATCGTGGTTGTTAATTTTGGTATTAATTTTTCATTACCAGTCACTATACAACGATTAAAACCTTTTTGAAAATGTTGTGAAATTTGTTCCATTGAAAATTGACAAACGTTTGATTGATTTAGATCATCATCATCGTTGAAACCAATTAAAAGTTGACCATCTTGTAAAGTTGAATTCAAATGAAATCCATCATAATCATTACCATTTAATGTTTTTGATAAATATGCTGAATTTGCTTGATAAAATTGATTACATTTTAATTTGATTTCCATATATGTTAATAATGAATTTGAACGATTTTCACATAAACGACCTAAACGTAATTCAGTATTATTATTATTATTATCATATGATTGATGATGTTCCATGAATAAAAAATATGCAAAATTATTATAACTAAAACCGGTAATGAATTTAAATTGATAATTATCATTTGATTTTAATTTAATTCTTGAACAATCATTTATTTTATGTATAACATAACGAAAACCATGTTCACCAATTTTACGTGCAGAAATGAATGGTAATTGTAAATTTTTATCACGATTATTATCATTTGAAAATGCCGTATAGAGGATGTCATTTGAACCGAAAAACATTAATGATGATTGATGGCCATTTGAATGTGAAAGAAAATTTATCGGTTTTAGATATTCATCATAATCGGTTTGATTATCAATATTTTTTGACATTTCATTAAGTAATTTCTGTTTTGAAGTGCAAAATTATAATTATTTATTTAATTAAAACATAAATAACACAAACTTACATTATCAACATGACAATCACCATAAAAATTTTTCAAACTAGTAGCAAAAATTTTTTCTTGAGAAAAATTTGTTGAAATTTTATTACACAAACCACAACGATTCGTACCACAAACAAACATTGATGAATGATGTTGAAATATTTGTACAATATTATTGTCGGTGGTGGTGGTGGTGGTGTTTGAACATCGTCGATTCAGTTCATATGGTCCATTTGTAAAATTTTTTTCATATAAAATAAATTTCCAATCATTATCATTAGTAGTGTTTTTTATCAGATCAATACGATAAACAGTATTATTACTACCGATAAAAAATTCATTCGAATCGGTACGATAAACGGTGAAAAATTTATTCTGTTTATTCAATGTAAAATTCACCAATCTTAAATGTTCATTTCGAATAAGTTTATTATCATTCCAATTAGAATCGATTGATAATATTTCATTCAATGTTGATAGTTGTTGTTGTTGTTTATCTGATGATGTTGTTGATGATGTTTCTTGAAATTTTAATAAATTTAAAAATGTTGATCGTCCTAATGATAAACAATCATTCGAATCGATCATCATAAACAAAAGAAAAAGAATGATGATAAAATTCATTTTTCTTAATCGATAATTATAATTTTCGATGGCCATTTTATAACGAATAATAATGATGATAATAATGATGATTAATATTGATTAATTATTGATCATTATAATTGATTGATTGATTGATTGCATTTTTTTTTGTTACCGATGAACTTTTTTTTTATCATATCTTGATATTTGATTGCAATCAAAAAAAAAAGAATTGATGATTAATTAATTTAATTTTTTATCATTGAATTCAAATTGGAAGCAATGAAAAAAACAAATAAACAAACTTTTGTAGGGTAAATTATACGAAAAAAAGAAAAGAAAAGAAAAATTTCGATTAATAATCAAAATAAACAAAACGATTAATTATTGGGTTGATTATTGTCATGGAATTTTTCTGCAAAATATTTACCTTAACCAGAAAAAAAACAAAAATTGCTCAGATTTTTCACTCAGATCATTTACATTGAAAGATATACATCATCATCCACATCACTATGGACAACAAATCAACTAACGATTGGTTAACTAGGCAACCGGTTATTATTATTATTATTACAATTTTCCCTCACTTCTTTCACTTAAACATCCTCAAAGTTATTTTTTGCTGGTGATGATGATGAAAAAACACAGTGACAAATTGAGAAAAGAGAGAGAAAAAAAACGGAAATAAATTACGAAAATCCGGAATCAATTTTCTCTCTCCTCACTCATTCATTGATCATCATAAAGTACATAATTAATTTTAATGAATATCATAAACAAACAAACAAACAAGGGTGTTTTGTATTTTGATTGAGGTCAACTATTTGAATTTGAATGAATCATCGTCACCAACACAAAATAACTGATTGAAATATGATTGATTGATTGAAGAGAAGAAACCGGATGAATTTTATCTGATTTGGAACCAAAAAAATTGGAAAAGGAAATGGAATTTTCTTAGATTTTCAGAGAGCAAGAGAGAGGGTATCATATTTCACATTGATTGATTGAAATTTTTTCAATTTAAATAAACAAAAATGACACTGGAAAAAACAAAACATTGAACTTAATAAATGATCAAATGATGATGATCATATGAAAAAGAATGAATGCTGAAAAGCAGAAGAAGAAAAAAAAAATTCGTACAAAAAAATCAATGATAAGAATTGTCATAAGGTTTTTTATATGAAATGATTTTGTTTTTTGTTGAACTGAACTTTGCTCTAGTGTTTATTAACCATGAAAACCAAAACAAAAAAATTGATCGATATCAAAAGACGACAACAACAACAAAAATGGACAATCAAACTTTCAAAATTCAAATGGATAATGATCAAACATTTGAAATGAAATGAAACGAAACAAAACGAAAAATTATTTGATCAAAATGAAATGATTATTCAAACCAAAAATCAAACAACAATTTTAACATTATAATAGCAAGTAACAGTAGAAATAGATTTGGAATTTTTTGCTTGCTTATCTGTGGTGTATAGAGTGACAACCATCAACCATCATCAACACCATTATCAAGCAAAATCCTGTACACATTGATAATGACATACCAGCCGAATATGAATATTTTCAATAACAACAACAAAAGGATTAACCACAACAACAACAACAACAAGGCAAACATGATCATTAATGAAAGATTGTAAATGGCGCCAAAAAAAAAATCTCATTTTTCTTTCTTTCTATAGGAAGGAATAATGAAAGGATTGTTTTGTTTCACAATCACCACCACCAAACACACCCTTTTGTTTTTGCTTTTTGTTTGTTTGTAAAAAAGCATCTCATTATAATTATAATAATTATCATTATCATTGAAGATTCAACAGAATTCAACAAAAAAAAAAAACAATCCGCATCATTATTTGCATTCAAAAAATTTGAGAATCCGATGATATTCAATCGATTGATTGATTGATTAAATTGATCGATTTTTGGTTGTCATTAAAACAAATATAAAGTGATGATGACTATTACTTTAGTATTATGTCATTCAATAGGAATTAAATTTCTAAATTTATCCTTGAGATTTTTATGATTTGATTTCTCCTTATTTTCTACTTTGATTTTGATGATTCATCCATCAATCATGGAAGGTAATCCACCATCATCAGTTGAAAAAACCATTAAACCAACGATGTTCTCGAATCTAGATGATGGCAATGTTCGATAATCTTTGGATGCTCGTTTTTTTTTGGCTTTAAAACAAAAATTGTTTTTTTTTGAAAGCAAAACATGAGGGTCAAAGAATTTGTTGTTGATTACGTTGAATGGAATGGAAATGAATGAAATAAGGCGCACAATCAAGAACATTCATTCATACACAAACACACACCCTGTTTGTTTGAAGATATTTTTTAAATCTTGCATTTCTCGTTGTGTACGTGTATGTGTGATGTAATAAGATGTGATAAGATTTAAGAGAGGTGAAAAGAATCATCATTGAGATGCATTGAATATTTGTGAAAAATACCGGTTTTTTTCTTTTTTCATTTGAAATTGATTGGTCATCGACCAACTAAAGATAAGATTGTTTTTTTTAAATTTACAAATACAGATATATTCTCTATCTATGTAAGTGTAGGTGGATGGATGGTTGAAAATCTGGTTCAATTCAAATGGAAAAAAAATTTGATAATGATGACTAATTGTTTAAAGAGAAAAACTTCTTTAGTAAAGAAATCTGAATTTAAGCCAGGCAGAAAAAATGCAAAACTTTTCACGCTTTTTATTTATTTCCTTCCCCCTCTATCTTTCTTTGTTTTGATGAAAGAAAATGAAATCATAGCGATGAATCAATCAATCACAAAAAGAAATTAAAGAATTTTATAGAAAAGGATTATAATCCAATGAAAGTTTATAAATAGCTAAGAATAACATTCAAAATTGAAAGAAAGAAATTAAACAAATTTAAAACAAATAATCAAATTCAAATTCAAAATGTTTCGAATTGAAAACATTGAAAAAATTTTTCAATTTGAATATAAACAAATGTAAATCTGTTGAATGCATATTGATTGTATAAACAAAATTACTTACCGAATTTTTAAAAAAAAGGATTGAGAAATTGGACGATAAAATGATCACAAAATTTTTGTTGTTGTTGTTTCGGATTGATTTATTGATTTTTTTTTTGTTTTGGCCACAATTTTTCTTTAATTATTAATTTTTTTGCTAAGAAATTTACCGGGAATTGATTTAAAAATGGTTGAAAAAATTGCACTTGAAAAAAATGAAAATTCTCTACATTTTTTAATTTTTGTTAAATGTCTCACTTTATCAATCAATCAATGAATGAATGAAAAAAAAGTAACAACGTGGAATCTTTTTCTGTTGTTGTTGTTGTTGTTGATAATCTTTTTTGTTGTTGACAATTGTTGTTGACTTTTTTTTTCTTCTTCTTCTTCTTCCAATCATTACACACATACTTATATCAACAACAACAACAAAAACATAAAATTAATCAAATTAACAGGAATCCAACAAAAAAACATTAATCTCAACGTTGATTAAACATTAATCGAGTTTGATGAAATGAAAGAAGAGAGAAAGTCAAACAAACACAAAACAAGCATGGATTCTTTATTATTATGATTATGATTCTTTGTTGTTCAGAATCAGTTATGTTGAGAATTCATTTCACAAACATCATCCATACAAAAATAGTGATGACCTAACCCAAACAAATTGAAGAAGAAAAAAAATCTATATACATCCATTCTCCACATAAAGAATGTTTATAAATATTGTTGATGGAAATTTAGTGGTGGTAGTGGTTTGTCAAAGTGTTTACCGTGTATGTTCGTACATTATCCTATGTAATGTGACGTTGTAGATTTAAAAAACTCACACGCAAAACATCAGCAATGCATATTTGGAAAATACATTTTCCAAGAATGTTAAAAAAAGTGGATACTATTTTGAAAAAAACAGGCAATATTCATCAAACAACAATTTACACATGCCACAAACACGCCTTGAAAGTAGTGGTAAAATTCCAGAAAAAAAATCAATAAAAATGCATGCATACAGATCGATCGATCGATTTATCTCATTAATCGATCGATAATTGGCTACAATTTTTGAAAAAACAAAAAAAAAACGATACAAATATATCAATGGACATCATCAAACCAGACCAAAACCAAAGAAAAACGTTGAGAAAAACCAAATTTAATCGAATCCAAGATTGTTATTACAGTTAAGTTTTGGTTGGTTATTATCATTTCCGAAAAATCAATTAAAATTATCATTGCAATCGTATTATGAACATAGCAACAACAACAACAAACAAACAAACAGTAGAAAGAAAAAATGAAAAGAGAAAGGAAAAATATCACCACCAATATCTTATAATGTTCTCATGAAAAAAAAGAAGTCTTTCTTTCTTTTTCACAGAAATAAAGAAAAATCCAAGGTTTCACCTTATAACCATGGTCGTATACATGTGTGGACATTTCATTTAATCGTGGATTGTTGTTTACAAACATTGATTATGCTGAGGGGTGGAAAGAAAGAGAGAGAGGAGGTGGATTTAATGTTTTTTTTTTCATTTGATATCAAACAATATCAGATCAGGAAAATTTTGAATTTTAAAAAACAAAAAAAAAATTATGGAAATAGTGGCGTTATCTAGTGGCAAAGAATCGAAAAAGCAATAACTTAAACAAAACAAAAGGAAAAAATGAAAATTGTTTTTCTTTTTTTTCAAAGACGAAAAACAAAAACAAAAAACAATTTTCATACATCAAACAAGTTAACGCGTTCGCTACCAGCGACGCATATATGCGTCGTTTATTTGCTGTAGTTCTATGTGTTTTTCTAAATCTCCGGTAGCGAACGTGTTAACAAAATTTCCGGCATAACAATTCATTTATCAAATAATATTAATTTTTCCCATTTAAATTTGACCAAAATACAAC